GATGAGACTAGGTGACTAGGTCACTGGTTCATGTGCTCGCTACTTATGGGAAGAAAGTCTCCCACAAAACGGTGCGCCAGACACTCAGGAGCAGCCTTGTACATCTCTGTTCACCCCTCTCTTGATTGCATCGTGAGGCCTGAAGTGATTGACCTGAACCATTTAGCTTTGTAGGTATGTATAATGATGTTTGCACAGTGACAAAGTCACCTAATGACACGCCTCTCAGAACGTATCCTCTTGATTAAGTGGTGCGTGACTATGTATAAGTAACTCAGATCTCTTATGGAATCTCTTGTTTTTTAACCACATGTGTCTTTCTCTTTAAAATGGAAATGGTAAAGTTCTGCTTCAGTCAGAGATGGCATATGTTAATTAAATCAGTGCTTTAGTCGGGGGGAAATGTAAATTAGTGCAGTTATTATAGAAAACAGTATGGAAGTTCCTCAAAAAGCTAGAAATAGTGCATGCCACACTCCTCTGCCTAGCAACCCTCCACTTTCTCTCCTTTTAATGGCATCCTAATAAATTTTTGCTTTCTCCTAACAAAATAAAAAGAAACTAGTAATAGAATTGCCATATGATCCAGAAATCCTACTAACAGGATTGAAATGAATAGATTGAAGGAACATCTGCGTTTATTGTGGTGCTGTTCACAATATCCAAGATACAAAACCACCCTATGCATGAATGGGTAAAGAAAAAATGGTATGTATACAAAATGGAACATTATCCAGCCATAAAAAAGAGTGAAATCCTGTCATCGGCAGCAACACGGGTGGAATTGAAGGACATTATGTTAAGTGAGGTAAACCAGGCACAGAAAGACAAATACCACATGATCTCACTTACCTGCGGAAGTCTTGGGAAGGGTCTGGGTAAGGGAAGGATGGAGAGAGGACCGTCGGTGGGTCCCGCGGTGCATTTGGATATGAGGAATAATTTCCTCAGTAGGACCCTGATGGGTGACAACAATTAAGTGAGTCTTTCAAAATAGTTCTTAGAGAAGCATTTGAATATTCCCAGTATCAAAAATGAGATACTGGGACACCATGCCCCTTACCCTGTGATCTGATCATCACAGTGTCCATGTACTAAAACATCATACTGCACCACATAAACCTGTATAGTTGCTGCATATCAATTTAAAATAAGGTAATTTTTAAAACCTATGCTTTATTCCAACTCTTCAATACTAACTAATACTAAGGTTGCAAAATGATAGTGGGAAGAGGATTGCCCCAAGACACTGCCCTCTGGCAGTTTCTCATGTGGCTGGTCCACAAACTTCATCAAACCCTTGCGGTGTGTCAGGCTCTGTGCTGGGCTTGGGGTACAGAGCCAACTGAGACACAGTCACTGCTCTCCTGGAGCTCAAGGATGGGCCAGTAGGGAGCCATGAAAGGTTGTGGTGGCCATTGTCCTGGAGAAAAGACCCCACAGATCTGTGGGCCCCAAAAGAAGGCACTTGTCTCTGCCTGGGATGCTAGAAAAGATTCCTGGGGTGGGGACCGTAAGTGGGGAACTGTGCTGGTCTGAAGGAGGAAGAGGACAGAAGGATCTGGTAGGTGGGGGTGGAGGCATTGAAGATAACTGTCACTGATACTGAAACCAGCATGAGGCACTCAGGAGCAGATGGAAGAACAGTGGATGGGTGTGGTGTGCCTCTGCTGTTGATTCAACGGCAATACGGAGGAAAGTAGCTTTAGCAGTGTTTGTAGTAATGCTGGCCAAGATTTACTGAGCATTCACTGTCCTGGGGTCTTTGGTATGTTCCCTCATTTAATCCCACTGCAGTCCTAGGCTGTATGTACATATTCCTGTCCATGCATCGAAGATGGGTGAGCAGTCAGAGCAGCAGCTCTTACACTAGTGGCCATGGACCAGGCCTTCCTCTGTCAACTTCAGCTTCCTTCTCTGTAGAGTAAGGTTAAAGGCTCATTCTAAGAATGTCGTGGGACCAGGGCTACCCAGTGCAGGGTTTATGGCAAATGTTGATCCGAGGTGTCTGAAGTTCCTGGGCTGTTAGGGAGGAGATGTTGGAAAAGCAGAGGGACATATGTGAGTGAGGCAGGCTGTGTGATAAATAAAAGGTGTGCGTTTTACTCTGAAAGCCACAACAGGCATCAGGAAGTTCTGAAACAAATTGTAAAATATTCGATATTGTTTGAGAAAATTCACTCTGGTCACAAGAGGACTGTGGAAGCAGCCAGGTCTGTTACAGGACAGTTATCAGAGGGCCAGGTGTGGTGGTTTATTCCTGTAATCCCAGATATTCGTGAGATGGAAGTAAGAGGATCATGGTCTGAGGCAGGCCCTGGCAGAAGCATGGGACCCTGTCTGAAAAAAAATTAAAGCAAAAAGAATTGGGGGCCTGGCCCTAGTGGTAGAACTTCTTGCCTAGCAAATAGAAGGCTCTGGGTTCAAATCCCAGCACAGCCAAAAAAGAAGAATGAGGAGGAGAAGTTTGTTATAATCCAGGGGACAAAATGTGACACCTCTGACAAAGGAGGGACAGTCACAAGAGATGTTGAGGAGGAGAAAGAGACAATATGCCATCTGACTAATGGCAATGGGGCCAAGGGAGGAAGAGGGGTTAAATAGCCCAGTCCAACCCACAGAAGCAGCAATGAATTAAGAACAGTGTTGTGAGTTGAGCTGTGTCCCCCCATATTCCTGCCTCACCCTCAGTACCTCAGAATGTGACCTTATTTGGGGATAGGGTCTGTCTTAGTCAGCTTTCATCACTATAACAAATAGTCTGAGACAGATCAACCTAGAAATAGAAAAGGTTTATTTCAGCTCACGGTGTTGGAGTTTCCAGCTCGTGACTGACTGGCCTAGTTGCTTTGGGCCTGTGGTGAGGCCAAACATTCAGGCTGAGAACACATGGTGAAACAAACCTGCTTACCTCAAGGCAGCAAAGAGAGAAGGAACAGCGCTAGGTTCCAATAACCCCATCAAGGACACGCCCCAGGAATCTGAAAACTCCCACTAAGTTCCGGCCCCTAAAGGCTCCACAACCTCCCAGTAGCACTGGAGACTGGGGAGAAGCCATCCACACACAGGCCTTTGGAAGATGCTTATGACCCAAACTATAGTCGGGTTTTGACAAGGGAAATCAACTTAAAGAGAAGTCACTGGAACAGGCCAGATCCAATGTGACTGGTGTCCTCAGAAAGGCGGAAATGTGGGCACAAGAAATTGGCAGAGAAAAGACAACGTGTAACGACAGAGGGAAATGACAGCCATCTACAAGCCAAGGAGAGAGGCCCTGAACCAATCTCTCCCTCTCTGCCCTCAGAATGAGCCAGCTCTACCCTTATCTTAATTTTGGTCTTTGAGTCCCCAAACTGTGAGAGAGGAAGTTTCTATTGTTTAAACAACCCAACTCTAGCACTATGTTACAGCATCCCTAGCAAACTAATTCCAGGAGTAGCCCATTTGGAGATGACCCTGGGTTATATTTGGGCCCAGTGTTGAGTTTGATGTGTTATTTTGGAGACAGCCAGATGGGGATGAATGTCAAATGGTAGCCATGTATGCAGGACCAGGATTTAGGGGGAGCCTGGGACTAGTGATAAGGACATGCCAGTCATCACCAACACTCTGGCACCTATAGCACAACAATACATAATGAGAGTTTGGAAAATAGTTGAATGAAGAAAGATCACATTTGCCTGAGGACAGAGAGCAGAAGGGACTATAAGAATATTTAGGATTGATTCCAATTTCCTATCCCCAGTTTTAACAAGATCACTCCAGTCCTATGGATACAGAGCTGTAACCATGGCTTACATAAGGGCAATGAATTTTAGGGGATTACTGCTTTGCTCGCTGGTATTTACACTCACTAGGAAGGATAGAACCCTCTTTGTTCTATAAAATCTGGGATTAAAAAATTAAACAAATATCAAAGCTATTCTTAGCACAGAGAACTCTAGCCTGGCTAGAGTTTTAAATTCACTCCCATGTTCTGAAATGTTGACCTGCTGGTGACATGTCTATTTTAGGTAGCAACTTAGAAGTATGCTGAGCTTTAAATGTCAAAATAAGTTGGCAACACAGAATAATGGAAAATGGCAATAACTGAAGCCAGAGGTCCTGCTTTTAATCCCAAATGTGCCTCTGAAAAATGAGGGGACCTTGACCTTTCTGGGTGCCCTTTCCCTCATCTATAAAACAATGAAGGAGAGGAGGCACTTGGATGATCTCCCAAGTCTGACATTCTGTGAGTCTCTCCATGTTGCCTTTAATTGCAACTGGTGATAAGATAACATTTCCATAAATTGATCTGCCAACGTGAATTATCCAGCAACATGAAGACATGGAAATAAGATGATAGGCAGAAATGCATACTGCAGATGACTTTGGTAGAATAATTTCCCTCCTTAAAATGGTAAATGGGATGCCAGAAAGAGACAGTGGTTTTGTAATGCATCTTAATTACCAATAAATTGGTTGTTACTGGAAGGTTTCAGAACACACATGGTCCCAGTATTTTGTCCAATGACTTAAATTTCTACCATATTGGAAGAGGATATGGAAAATTGCCCTCTCCTAACTACATTTGTAATTTCCCCATAGACCCTTTAATATTGAAAACTCATGTTGACCTTTCCTCTACATGCCTGGACATCTTCAGCCCTGGATATAATAAGGTCCTAAGGGGGAAAGACAATTAAGATTTATTGAGTATCTAGTCAGGATCACATTTTGTACCAGGTCCTTGACCTGTGTTGTGTAATGCCTCATTTAACATATCCCTGGAGTAAATGCTGTCAGTCCCCTACCAAAAAGACTAATTCAGCCTAAAAATGTTAATAGTTCCAGAGCTAAGAAATTCTGACCTACACCCAACATGACTGATTCTTAGATAACTGAGATTTAGGAAGTATCTATTCAGTGTGCATTTGTACCAAATCCTTGACTCTATTATGTAATACCTCATCTAAGATGGTGGCTCTCAGATGTGACTGCCTATTGTATGCCATTTCCAGGGTCAAGCTGTGACTCAGCTGTGTTCCACTATCCCCAATGTGACTGTCTTTGGAACAGCTTCTACTTTCAAGCATGAAGCCATCAAAGACTCTGTGACCCACCTCTTCGACAGAAATGCAGACTATGTGCAAGAAGTAAAAAGGTAAGGTGCTCCCTCTAAAGGGTACCGAGTGGCCCTTTCTCCTCACTTATTAATGAATGGCTAGCAGTAATAATAATGGTAAACATGTAATGAGAACTTTATGTCACTAGCTCTGTGCTGGATTCTTCACATATGTTATTAGCTCATCCAATCTCAAAACCCTATTGCTGTCCCCAAGGACCAAAGCAGTTAAGTAACTTGCAGAGCTAAGGGTTAAAGTCATGCCAGCTGCCATGCATTATCTTAACACACAGAAGTCTGTTCCCCATTCATTTACCCAACAGCTCAAGGCAAATGTTTGGTGGATGATCTGTAAGGACACTCAGGGATCCAAGTTCTTCTATTGTGGTTCCACGTTGCTTTGGGTCTTAAGGTCTTTTGCTTCGAGCTGGGAGATGGGGACAGAACACCAAAAGGTCAGGAATGGGAGGGTCTTATGCAATTGTTAGCGCTCTGGTCCGTGGTCACACCGTTCTGAAAAGCACTGGGACGCACTGTCCAGCTGCGCATGCAGGCAGATTTAGTACAGGTATTAAATGGTGAAGCCTGATTTGAACCAGGCTTTCTGATGTGGGAACTCATGCTTGTACTGTACTGAAAGCACCTTTCTGAAGAGTGAAGCATGGCCAAGGTTACCATAGGGAGGTGGCTGGGAGGGAAGGGCTAGGAAGGAAGTTATACTTATGAACACTGAGGACTGGGAGCACCTCAGAGCTTGGGGAACTGCAGGAAAGCTTTACATGGTGCAAGTCCGGGGATGTCTGGTTACCAGGTCTAATTACAGATATTGACAAAGGGGCAACTGGGTAGGAAAGGGAAGGAGAGACATGAAGAGAAGCCAGAAAAGAAGACGTAAAGACTTTATATACCAACTTGGAATGTGGGGCTCCAACCCATGTGTGACCAGGAGCTACTGAAGGACTAACACAGTGACATGATCCAGTCTGGGTTTTGAGCAGTCCCTGGTTGTGTGTGGAGGATAATGGGAAACAGGAGATCAGTCTGCTGGCTGTTTGCAGTCCCCTGGGGGATCATTGGTTTCTAAACTGATCCACATTCCACCTATGATCTGAAAGCTATTGATCATGCCATATGTATGTTGATGCAAGGAATCGGATGGAAAACCCAGCTGCCACTACTCTGTTCCAGAGGCTCTGTGTGTCTTACCCCAGCTGCTGCTCAGGGACCCAGGCTCAGTCCCAGTGTCTCCTGCTCAGAGCTCAAAGCTCATTCTCAGGTTTAGATCCACTCATGGCTCCTGAAGGGACTCAGAGATGTCCAGCAGCCATTGTTTTGTCCTGGAGTCAGTTTCTAGCACTACATTGTAAGGTACAAATGTATTAAGTCACCCAGCCAGCACCATAATAAAGACATGACTTTCTCCAAATCACAAATTAGCATACAAACATAAAAGGCCAGGGGCTGGGAGAGCTGCTAGTCTTGGAAGACCAGAGGTGGTGAAGATTGGGAAGTTTCTTGGTAAGGAATGTCTTCCAATGGTCCAAAGTTTCAGATTTATTTTTAAATTCTAAATGTACAGATTTATATGTGATTTAAGATTGTCCTGATAGTCCCAGCAGGACATGAAACGAGATCTTCAAAGCTAGACGTTACAAGTTTGCCCCTGTTCTTGGATATGTAGAGATCTCAGGCTAACTTTAAAAACTTCCATTTGTCCAGTTCTGAGTCTCGGTTAGTTCTTTCTACTTATAACTCAGTCTCTCAAAAGTCTTTTCTTGAACTGGAGGTGTGGGTCAAATGGTAGAGCATTTGCTTTGCAAGCATGAAGTATTGAGTTCAAAACCCAGTTCTACCAAAAAAGTCTTCTTTCACCCCCTTAAATGATGTTTTTGCAAGCATTATTTCATTATTCATCTACTTACTGCTGAATAAATATGTGTCAGCTGTCTGTGATGGACTAAGTACTGTGCTGGGTCCAGAAACCCAGCAATAAACACCCTAGATATTTTGCCCTTGTGGTGCTTGCAGTCCAGCTAGGGGAGAGGGAGTGAAAAATACTACTACACGGAGATTGAGTTTATTTGCACTTTTGATGTGTGCTCTGGTGGAGAAATGCAAGGTGCTGGTGAGCATACATCAGACATGTCACCAACCAGTGTAGGATTTGGACTGAGAGTGCAAGGGTGAGAAGTTGGCTAGGAGAAGAGAGTTTCATGCTAGCAGGAATGGCACATGCCAAGGTTTTGGGTAAATTCAGGAACCTAAAAGTAGGTCAGTGAAGCTGGCAGGAGGATGTGGGGAGAGGTAAGTGAAGAGAGTCAAGGGATGGCAGTTCTTCTGAAACAGTGATATCCCACAACCAGGGAACTCCTGCCTGCCCCACCCCCCACACAGCTGCTCCATCGCCTCTGCTCCTCCCTGGCCTTGACCTCCTCCTTCAGCCCCTGAATCAGTGATTTCTGCTGATATCAGGCAACAGCACCTGAGGCCCATCTCACCACTATCGTCTGTCAAGTGTAACTTCTGACAGCTCATTTTGGTTTAAAATAGAGACCCTAGGATTCAACTAAAAATGACTTGGAAGCCTTGAATATGATTAGAGCCTCAGGAAATAGCCCAGAGTAAGATAAAAGCTACAGGTACAAAGTTGCCTGTAGCAGAGCCAAGCTCTGTGACATCGTGGGCACTCAGCATATGTCAACAGTGAATTATAGCATTGTGTGGAATAGCAGAAACTCAGAGCCAGCTTCCACTGCCAACAAAAGGGAAGCAGTGCAGCAGATTTTGCTACACCCACATGCTTAAGTATTATGTAGCCCCTAAAAACAATCATTATGAAGACTGTGTCACAAAAATGAAAAAAATGCCTCTGGAGCATATTGAAAGAGAAAAGCAGAACGCCAAATTCCAGCCTCACTGTGATCACAGCTTTGTACAAAGTCTTGGTGTATACGGTGCACAAAACGAAAGGGAACAGATCCAGTCAGTAGCTAACATGCATTAGGAGCGACATACAGAGTGATTCCTCTTTATTTTTAATCACAGATATGTGTGCACAATAAAATAGAAAAACTAAATTTCTTGAGATGAAAATGCTTTTATAAACCAGTCAATCCATAAGCCTCTTTTGAATGCGTGCTCAAAATAAAGAAGAGAGAAAGATCAGAGAGAAGATGACGGGGGACAGTCCCAAGGGGGGACTGGAAGGGTGAGAAGGATTTCAGCAGGAAGAAGTGGGGGAGAGCCCCAGCCAAAGGGAGCTGGGACAAGGCAAGATTCATAAGAGCAGCCACACTCTGTTGGCCTCCTCTCGCTCTGCTAAGAGTGATGAGAACATCTTACGTAAAGAGAATCACGCAGTCCTCATGCCACAGTTGCACATTTCACAGAGACTAAGGACCGAATGTGGCCTCAGAGGCAAGTTATTCTAGGAGCTCTCTGTCCTGCCAAACTCTTCTTGGTTTGTAAGACGACCTGAAGAAACTTGGGGGCAGGAAGGATGTGTTTGGTACCTGGATGGTTGTGATGGCTTCACAGATGTGAACCTATGTCATAACTCATCAAATTGTACACTTTACATTTGTGAAGTTTAGTGTATCTCAATTCTATCCCAATAGAACTATTTAAAATACCGTTTAAGTCAAACATTTAAATTTTCATTGGGTAAAAAATGGAGCACCATATTATTTCAGATCTCATGTTTGTTCATTCATTCAAATATCACTAACGATTATGCATGTGCCACACAAACACAATGATCTGAAGTGTCCAAACTAGTACAGACAGATAGCTAAATGATCAACTGTAATACAATAGGGGTAGCACCCCATAAGGAAGTATAGGAAATTTGGGGGAAACAGGGGAGCAACGTCTAAATGGAAACCCAGGGGACAGGTAACTCGTTTTCAGTCCTTGCAAGTTTTATGAAGTTGACATTGTCCTCATTTCTTAGAGGAGTCTATTTAAGTAAGCTTCACACACTACATGTGTCAGGACTCAGCTCCACCCGGCTCTGGGTCCAGAACTTGTGGTCTTTTACCATCCGCGCTCACCCTCACACAGGAAGTGGGGCTGGCTCACCTGTGAGCCGGTGGGGAAGCCAGGCTGCCTGGATTAAAGCCTGTGGCTGTGTGGGATGCGGAGATGATAGGACTGGCTGGATCAGAGCTTCTCAACCTCAGTCCTGAGTACACTTGGGGTGGGATTGCTCTGTTGGAGGCTGGCCTGTGACTGACAGGATGTTCATCAGCAACCCCAGTCTGTCCTCATCAGATATCCCTGCAAATCCTGACAATGCAAAATGGCTCCAGATACCACCCACAGGGGCAGGGTAGCAAAACTGCTCCAGGTTAAGAACTGGAATGATAAATGTTTGAAGCGAGGGGCGTGTTCATGACCCTTTCTCATTACATTTTGGGTGCATGTATCAAAATAGTACACTGTATCCCATAATATGTACAAAATGTAAACAGTACATTTTTAAAACTTAAAACAGAACCACTGGGCTCCGTTGACAAGGCTCGTGAAAGCCCTTAAATGGAGTTCAACTTAGATTATGTCAGAAATGTGAATTCCTTTGCAAGTTTGAAGCAGTTAAGTGCTGTTAAGAGAAGAGAGTCCATGAACCGGTCTAAGTGCAGGGTGCAGGCTGAGTGGGAAGGGACCACCAAAGTCAGGGGAAGCAAGCAGCTGGGGTGAGAGGGGGACAAGGAAGGAGCAGTGGAGATTTTGAAAGAGAACATGACGTGGTGACCACGGAGGACAGCACAAGATGAGACCAAGACTTCTCCCTTTTGCTGTTGTCACACAGTGGCCATTGGAAACTGTGATGGCACCCTTTAAACAGAATAAATTCAGTGTGAGAGAAAGACCTCCAGGGAAAATGGGGACTAAAGCCAGAATGCCAGAAAGCCTACCCCTTCAAGCACTTGCTGAGTGTGTGCTCTGACTGACTCTGGGAGGTGGGGACACAGAGATTGGATACTGGGTGCTGAGGAGCACCCAGTCCCTGGGGAAAAGCACCCCACTCCAGTGGAGGG